TTAGTTGAAATTCAATTATTTAAAAAATTTACATCTTTTAAGTTTTATTCTTATTTAATATTCCATATAAATGCTTTGATGATGATAATCAAAATTTTCAATTGGTCATTTTTTTAAATAATAATAATTAAGGTAGAGTTATAATTCAAAAGACAATTATAAAAATTATTTGATATTCAATATTTTGAATTAAATAAAATTTTTAAAAAATATCTTGTAAGTCCCTGAGTAAGCAAGATGCAGGCTCCGATTCGCTTTTGGTTTTCACACGCTTTTGATTTCACGCGTTCACGTTTGAAACCGGCCCAACTGAATTTTGATTCGTCAAATATTCCACGCTTGAATTTACTTTTGACTTCTCCCCGATTACCATTCCCCGTTCTGCTCGTTCTGCCGGTGCTCTTTCCATTACAAGTTTAAAACAAAATACCATTCTCGTGTGACAAAAAAATTATTCCCGCTGTCTTGATTTATAAATTATAAATATTTTTAAAAAATTAATAACTTAAAATATAAGACATTTTAATGTAAATAAAATTTTATTAATAATATTTTTTAAATATTACCTTTCTTATTATATTCTATCCCTTAAACATTCTTTTATTAATTGAGCATTAAATAAAAAAAATTAAAATTTTATATTCTTATGGTAAAAAATAAAATTATAAAATATATTTAATAAATTTTATTGATACGTGTGATTTTACTTAAAAATATGTCGTAATTTGAAAACAACGAGTGTCATTCTTTTAATGGTGTGATCTGAATTCTAAAATCACTTACATCATCGAAGCTCAAGTGGCCGGCGTGATCATGTGACCTACTTTCAGTTGTTTTAGAATTCAAACTTCAATTTCACTCGTAATTGTATATTACCCAATATTATATTGTATTTGATTGAGATGAATTGGCTCCACGTCTGAAGTCTAACTACCGTTATTTTACATCCCATGACTTATCTTGTTTTTATTTTTTTTTATTTTTTTTGCCAACATCTTGTTTTTAATTTGAATCCTCCTTTCTATCTGGTCCCTCCATGCTCTCCTCAATTTTAACCAACGCTATTTTCTCGGAGTATGCATCGGTTTCATTTTCATGGTGTGTTAATGCGAATGTTCAACATGACTCGTTTCCTCCAATATCTGAGAAAGTGCCTTATCTGACGGATGCTGAAGCGAAAAGGTTGGAAGTTTCTTAAACGGTTGATTACAAGGCAGGGATCATCTGGCCTGGTGACATCAACATTTTCCTTTGATGTAAGGGGCTCTAGAGGTTCTATTTTTTATTTAGTTAGTAGTCATGTACTGTGCGTTTGGTGAGTGAGTGATGTTATGATACCATCGTCTGCCCCCTTCTCCGTGCGAGGATAAGGCTAGATAGGATATTAAAAAAAGAAAAGATGTTGTTAATTAATTTGATTATAAGCAATTCTATGAAGGGGAAAGTTTATTTTCAATCTTTTTGTCCAGCATGCAATTTTGTTTAGCTTTGTTAAGGTTTAATATTTAACGTGGAGTTCAAAATTCAAGCAATTGATTTAACAAATAAATCCTATTAAAATAGACAAGTGACAAGTGCTATAAAATGGTGGAATTACTTCAAAGTTTCTACAGACTAATTTGGCGCGCACACACACACATATATTTCTCGTTGGTTTAGTTACACAGTAACAAGGCACGTTGCTTGTACCAGCAACTTCAATTCAAGTATTGACAACATAATTTGATTATATATTCAATTTAGTCGATGCAATAATAAGTTGGTTTATATTTTAACAATTATACTTTCTATTATTTTGTGGAGGATTATAGACATAATTTTGTAAAAAATATGACAAATAAGTACCTTGAGATTTCAGTTTAATTATCTCATTTTGTCGTCTATCTATTTTAAAGGGATTTGTTTATTGTTTCCCCTGTCATTCATGTTGCTGGTACCATAATAATTATTTGATGGAAATATATTAGCTGACGTATAAATTATACGTGATTTAATGAATAAATATGGTTAAATATCACCCAAAAAAAGAAAGAAAAGGCATCACGCTACTTTTTTCTTTCTCTTTCCTTTTTGTTGGACAGGGCATTTCACTTTTCAATTTGTTTTTTCATCGTCTATAGATGTTTTGTATTAAAAACAGCAGTCTTATTCAAAACACTGTCATCTTAAATGTAAGTATTTGTTTCTAACCTCTTCAACGTGCTTTTAATGTGCAAGATGATGGTGTTTTACAGATCATCTCCAGTCTCTCTTTCAAGCTAATTGCCCCATAAGGAGATTAAAAGCTCAAATATAATTCAGGAGCTTAATATATTGCTGGCGAGCAAGGGGGAAAAACAGAAAGCTAATCCTTTCCCATCCATAGCTTCGCCAGTTGGAGGCTTCTTAATCATAAAATCCATAATTTCATCGTGTTAATGGCGTCTCGACTGATAAAAAAATGTTTGTCGGGGGGAAAAAAAGATAGAGACAGATTCTTGTCCAAGGTTGGAGGGATTTTCATGCCAACTGTTGCGGTGTCTAGATTTTTAGCTTTAAATACCAACGAATCAAAATATTCTTTCTGTATTAATAAAACATAATAACGATATTTTATAAATTTATTTTTTCCAAAGAAAACTATAAAATATTAAAAAATGTTCTTACATGCATTATCATTGCTCTCTGCAATTCTATTTATATGAGAAAAATATTTAAATAAATTGGATGTACTACGTTATTTGTTGGCAAATTCAATTAAAATGTTCAAAATAATTTAAATACAATATTGTGTGACCTTTTTTTAGCTAATTTTATTCCTATAATAAAATGTAAATTTGATTTATTGCCTTTTCTCTCTCTAATATCAATAATATTAAAATTAATTTATATTTAATACAATTAAAATATCATGTTTTTATTGAACAGATTATAAATGAAGCGGCGCATCCAGTCTACCTAAGATTTTCTCATTTATATGATAGAGAGAGAATTTTTTTTGTCAAGTTTATAAGTTATTTTATAAAAATATATTATTAAAGTATATATATTTAATAAGAGATAGTTTAAGAATTTTTTAAATTTGTAAATAGAATTAATGAATTTTAAATTTTTTTAATTCTAGTAAAACATATTATAAATGATTTATAAATAACATTAGAAAAGCATGCTACAATATCATTTTAAATTCTCTCCCCATTTAAAGGATGATGTTAAAAAATATGATTAATGAAACTCTATTTTTTAAAATTATTTTATATTTTTAAATAATAAATTTTTTAAAAAATTATTTTATAAATTGATACAAAAGGAGTAACTTATTAAGTAAAATTCACTCATTTAGTTGAAGGCACCGTTGGTTGGGTTCAATTTTAGAATATTTTTTACACAATTACTTTATATTTAACTTTACTAGACTAGATTTAAGCAGATTTTTCAGTTTTATAACGGTGTTCATTTCATTATACAAATTTAATAAAGGACTAAAATGAAATCATGGAAATCTTTACAGTCACATCTTCACCACCCAGAGCCTTCCGGTCACATTTGAACCATGTTTTACCTAGAGCCGTAAAAACGGGCTGAGCTCGTCAGGCTAATTCGTTTAAGCCCGTATAAAAATAGAGTCGAGTTTGTAAATAGAACTGCAAAATGATAAATTGGGCTTAAATAAAACAGCCTGTTTAAGCCCGTTTAATTTAGGGCTTAAAAGGGCCGGCCCTGCAAGGCCGAGGGTCAGCCCGTTTAAGCCCACATATGCATTTTTTTAATTAATTCTCATAATTTTTACTCTTTTTAGATTTAAAAAAAAAATTAAATTAAATCTTACTTCATATCACATATTAGTCTATATTTACTGAGGATGGAAGGCAAAAAAAAAAAAGAAAGAAAAAGAGCAATGAAGAATCACTGATCAAAAATTATATCAATTAAAGATCACTTATTGTTAAAATTCGAGTAGATACTTGTGGATTCGAGTTAGTCTTTATCAATAAGTATTCATTTAGATTTTAATAATAACTCATTTTAAATTAACAATAATTAATTGTAGCTTGTTTTTCATTCAGGTTTTGACAATAATTGATTCTTAATTGATATAAATTTCATATAGAAATCCTTGGCTACTATTTTCTAAAAAAAATACAACATTAAATCCCCTAATTCATCTAGATCTGTGATAATGATTCATTTGGTTTAACATTTACTCTTCTAATTTTGATGGGATGTTTGTCGGCTTAGCCGATCCATTGCTTATTACATTGTTATTATTTTATTTGTATTTTTAGTTCATTTAGATGTTATTTAGTTAGTTTTTTTTATACCTTTCTTGATTGAGTATTATATTAAAATGAAGTAATTTTTTATTTGATTAAAAAATTTAAAAAAAATAAAAATAATTAAAAGGGCCTAAAGCCCGAAGGGGCCGGCCCTGAACCCGCTATGTCAAGGGCTGGGCTTCAAATATCAAGATCCTGAAAAAAAACTTGGGCTTAAAAGAGCTGGCCGTTTTAAGCCCAAGCCCTTCAAAGACCGACTCTACAGGATCCGGCCGGCCTTTTTTATCATCCCTAATTTTACCAGTGCCTAAACATCATCTGAACTATAGTACGCATATTTTTCGGAACCTTTTCCACAAATTAACTCCACGGAACGCAACAAAAAATATTGAAAAATAATTGAATTATTTTCCTGGTTGATCAGTAGAGGAGAAGAAGAATAATAATAACAACAATGAAAAGCAATGCAGTGCAACTTTTGTACGGTAATAATAATGGTTGAAAACAAAATAAAGGCATGGAGCGTGGGAGTTTTGAAAGAGGATTTCACTTGTCGAAGAAAATAGCATTGAATAGCCAAATACGAGGTGGGGTCCTCATCTTTTGATTATTTCCCCGGTTGTTGCCAACAGGGCCACAGTGAGGCGTTCTCTTCACATCTCAGTCATGTACGCATGGTTCTCATCTTCCATAAAACCCCTCCTCTTTCCCCCCCCTTCGTAATCCAATCCAATTGAAACCTGTTTCTTATATCAGATCAGATCCCCCCCCCCCCTAAATCCCCTGAATTCAACTCAAATCTCATTAATGTCTTCCTGCTTTCGCCCCTCCCCTGCCACCAATGACGGCGCTCTTCCTCCTCCTCCGCCGCCACTATCCACCAACCCCAACCTCACCACCTATCTCTTCCACACCGACGCCGGCGTCGTTTCCCTCACCTGGTCGCGCTCCATTTTGGGTCGCTCCCTCCATCTTCACCTCCATCACCCCCCTTACGATTCCCCTCTCCCTTCTACTTCTCTCACTCCCGCTTCTTTTCACCTCCACATCAAGCCCTTCGTCTTCTGGAAAAGGCATGGAACCAAGAAGTTTTCCCCCAATACTTTCCTCTTCTGGAATCTCTCCAAAGCCAAATTCGGGTCCGGACCTGAGCCCCTCTCCGGTTTCTACGTCGCGCTGGTTGTGGACAAGGAGATGATTCTTCTGGTCGGCGATCTCAACAAGGATGCGTACGCCAAGACTAAAGCTCTCGAGCCCAAGAATGGGCAGCTTCTGGTTCTGAAAAGGGAGCACGTGGTGGCCAACAAAATCTACACCACGAGAGCGAAATTCGGGGGCAAAATGAGGGACATACAGATAGATTGCGGATACAGGGACGACTCCAGGCTCTGCTTCAGTGTGGATGGGAAGATCGTGCTTCAGATCAAGCGTTTGAAGTGGAAATTTAGAGGGAATGAGAGAGTAGAAGTGGACGGGGTACCCGTTCAGATCTCGTGGGACGTCTACAATTGGCTGTTTGAGAGAGAGAACGGTGACGGGCACGCCATTTTTATGTTCAAAATCGAGGAAGAAGAGGAAGAAGCTGGTAAGGATGCAGTAGGGGACAGAAATTTGATGAATCTTTGGACACAGCAAAACTGGCATCTGGGGCTGAACGAATGGGGGAGAATGGGCAAGAGCTTCTCGTTGTCGTCGGTTTCAGTGTCATCGTCAGCGGGATCTTTTGGCGGAAGCTCCTCCGTGATGGAATGGTCCAGCGTGGAGGAGAACGAGTTGGTGGTGCCCATCGGATTTTCCTTGCTCGTCTATGCCTGGAAAAGGTGAACGCTCGGCGCTTTCTCTGCGATCCCTGATTAATGAAATTCAGTACTTATAGGTGCTAACCAGTTAGATTAAACCCGGCTAACCCATTTGTTTTGTGAACATAATTTGTGATTGAATACATCTAGTTACGGCATTTTAGAACTCAATACGCAGATTCATAGTCGATAGGCATAACAACTTCTTCCTTGCGAGCGATAGAAAGAGTAGACATCAATTGATCCTCTTACCCAATCGTCTTTCATGATTTGTATTACGTATTCGTGAAATGTACTGCCTTGTGATGTAAATTTTGTGTAATAGGAGTCTTAGTTTGTTTGAGAAGCATACTGATCAAAATAGTTGGTTGCCAATTGTGTCCACTTGGGCGTGCTCTTTGTTTGTTTGTTTTTTTTTTTTTGGGTCAAAATTTGGGCGTCCTTATTAGCAGATATATCGTCTTTCGTGGAATTGTAATGGGAATGCAAAACCCATTCTGGGCATGCGAGCTCGAGGGATGGCGTTTTCTTTGGTTGTTTTGTGTTACTGTCACGGTTAAGAACCAAAAAAAAAAAAAAATGGTTGGCCTGGTTTTGTACAGCAACAATCTAGTATGCGATTGAAGGATTTGTAAGAAAAGATTTAGAAGGAAAGAAGGAAAAGAAAGTGAAAGCAAAGCACAGTAGACATTGCAATGGGAGAGACCCCAGATGGTGAAGGCAGTGGAAAACAAGAGAAAAACAGTGTGGGGAAGGAAAGCCAGACAAGGCAAAAGAGGGGATGGAACAGTTGATTGTTCCGTTAGCTGAAGGGGTGGGATGTAAGCTGTCATTTGGTATCGAGTTCACATGCTTTTGTTTTTGGTGAGCACTGCTGAAAGAGATGGGTGATGCATGGTGGTCAACTAGGAAATATCCCTTCAATTTCCCTCTTCTCCTTTCGACTAGGAAAGTCCTCCACCATCTTACTTCGTTGATTCCACCGTTAATCTTCTCATCCTTTGCTATTTATTTACCTTAGGTTTGTAATAATACAACAGCAACAGCTACAATGATAATAAAATTATATCACCTAATTTCTAGATGTGGGTGAGTTATATTTGTTTTTTTGAAAAATAAATTATAATCGTCTTCCCTAACATTTAACGGTGCGAGAAATATCTTCCTTAATTTAAATTTGTGTTGACTTTCTACATCATTATCTATTCTACCAAGATAAGCTTATCTAATTATATTTAATTTTATATTAAATTATCATTATTTAACTAATTCTTGTTATCATGTTTGAAGTGAAAGCAATATCATATATTATGTTGAATGCATTTATTACAGAAACGAAACTGCAGGAAAAGTGCTCGTAATGGATATGCGATTCATTCAATAATAGTACTTTGACTGGAGACATTTGATTTTGATTGGGTTTTGAGCCTTTTCCTGTAACATTAGCTTGTTGAAATTTTTTAAATGAGCGATGTGGAGCAACGTAGTTGATTTCGTGACGATCAACGTATTTAGTTTTTTTTCCCCCACCTTAAAAGGAATGTAAAAGCGAGAATGGGTAGGGCGTGGATTGTTTTGGGAAGAAGAAAAAAAGTAAAGCCACCACTTGGTGCTGGAATAGAAAGGTTTGGAGAACGAGTAACAGATGTCGGATCCATCCCATGTGGACATGGGTTTAAATTTTTGAAAGTAATAATAGGTAGAAACTACTAGTACTTTTTATTCTCCGCCGACGTATCACTGAAGCGTTGTGGTGTCGGTTGCCTTGCCGTTCCAACTTTCAAGCTGGTGTCTCCCTGCCAATGCACACACTGTTTGTCGGGCTTTTAACTTAAGCCCACTACAATGAACTTCTTTTTCTTTCCCACCCCCCCAATAAATAAAATAATTTATGCTAATCAGCTAATGTAATTAAATTTGTACACCGTACAAGCAGCAGTCCGGGCTTGGATTTGAGGCCACGAGCAGGAAGCGAATATCAACTTTTATGCTGATACTGTTGGTCGTTTTTAGTGGCTAATAACCATCTTGTTGAGTGACGGGGTTGTTTTTTAGGATCTCCATGACCATGGCTCACATAATAATGAATCAGGGGTCGATGAATTTTGCCTTTTTATAAATCAGTATACATGGCTGGCTATAGGAAGTGACAACAGAAAGATACTGGTGTCGTATTATGAAGCTTATTAGCACAAAACAGAACAGGGAACCCACTTTTCTAATTACTATTAGTCTGTATGAGAATTTTAGAAAAGGGGGAGCGGGAAAGGAATATACATAGGCTCTTCCACCGAGGAGCAGGTATGGAAAGTCGAGACTTGTAAATTGTAATGTCATGCTTCTACGCTAAGCAGACTTGTCTCCCAACTAGAGGGAAATGAACAGACGTCGCTTCCTCTTCACACATGAAAGCTGTACCTCTATGTTCGCTTTTCTTCTCATTATCACCGAGCACACTTTGCCTTGGTCAGTGAGGCTAAAGTAGCAAAAGCAGAAAAGAGCGAAATATGGCAGCACCCGATGGATTAAAGTTACATTAATAATAGTCTGCACACCCTATTAAAAGCGAGAATGGTGATGAGTACTATATTCTTTTTCATTCTCATGGCTTTTACGCTGTGGCCTGACTTCACATACAAACAACCAGTGTTTGGATGCTACGGGTGCAAGGCGCGGCCATGACTCCAAAGATCCTCTGGCATGGGACCCTCGTCTTATATTATTTCATGCTAATTTGGATTCTTTGCTACCCTCCGATTCTCTTCCTGTCTCACATTTCACTCTTCTAGTAAGGATTATGTTGCGTGGGTCCACAGATTAGATTCTTGTTCATTTGGATTTTGGACCATCCTCTCTCAATAACTGATCAGCAATGCGTTTTTACAAAGAGTTTGAACCAATGCAGTACTTCCTTTCCACAACAATGAAGGAACAAGGTAAAGGAAAAAATTGATTACAAAGAGATCGGAGACACAGCATTCATCGATTCATTCCCTCCAATAGCGGCCAGCTATTGCAAGTCGCCAGCCTAGAGATACAAGATACACAGCAGGTTAAAGACGTTGCTAGCTTCCCCTGGCTCTTCTCAGGTCGCTTCAAATTCAATACTGAAATAATCAGAAACATCTGTTTTAATCTGGGGAGCCTCGCACCCGTTGGCACGGCGTAGCTTCTTGTTAATTTTATCCTTCTCGGATCCCACTCGTCCCCGTGAATTGTCAATCTTTGCTTCTTGTAGATCGGGCGGGAGCACGCAGTTGCAGAGAAATCCTGCACATTCAAAAAGCACAACTCCTTACACTTGCATTTAGCAACTAACGTGACATTCCAGTCACTCGGGTGAAACAGGGAAAAAGAAAACGGCTAGCAAATATGCATTTTCCGGGGAGGACGGACTAGTTTTTTATTTTAGAATTTTTCAATGGGAGGATTGTTAGTAAGAATGAAGCGTGTGAGGAATGATTACCAAGGCGAGCAAGTCGATTGACCCAACGTGGGATAGAGTTAGCCGTTAATCTGAGACAAGCATCGTTACAGAAGTGGTTGCAGTTTTTAGTGATGAGATGGTAGGAATTGCCAGAGTAGCGGTTAGCTAGTTTGTCCATGAAAGCCGAAACATCTTTAGGGCCCAGGTCCGTTGTTCCGATGAGGATGGATTTTCTGAAAGTGAAACCGGGACAGCGTCTGGGTTCTACCAGAAAAATGCCGGTAGTGTCGTGCTCATGCGCTCCAAATCCATATTCAACCCCATGAACTACAGCAGAACACAATTAGGGGGAAGATGAATATAATAAAGCGGTATTAGAAAGGACAAGAAGGCGGAGCAGAAACGTACCCTGAACACCAGAATGGAAAACACCGAGGCCAAGCCAATAGGCATAGCCATTAATAGGGGTGAGATCATAGACGTTAAGGTAAACAGGAAACCCTCCGAGCTTCTTCTTTGGCGGCAACACCAACACTTTGCCCCCCATAATCTCTTCCCCGGACCAGCGCAGAGAAGACCACACCCTCGCTTCTCCCTGCGTTACCCTTGTTGTATGATAACTTGTCCTTCCCGAGCACCGAAGTACGGGAGCACACTAGTCACTAAAACACGCGCAGCTCCCTCGGGCGTCCTGCTCGATATTTCGATTGGCTTCCTTCACCCGCACCCATATATATATATATATATATATATTAAAAAATAAAAATTGGTGTTTAATGAGGAAAAGAAAAGGGGACAGGAATACACAGATATCAAGGGGAATTGTCGAATGGAGGGAACTGAATGCTTCTGCTAATGTCCACAGGAAAAGGAATAGACAGTGCTTTGTTAAACGATAAGGGAACACCTCACTGGCACTGCAGTTATGATTTCGATTCCCGGCGAACACTCACTGGCGCATCCCGATCCACACGCTCTTCTCCCCCCAACGTCTCACACTCTCCCTACCTTTTTTTTTTTTTTTTTAAGTTTTTATTTGTCTCAGTTATAATTTATTTAAAATTTAAATATCACATTTTAATATTTTTATATTTATAATTTATTTTTTAAAATTTATATCAAAACCTAATTGTCATTGACTCCATCTTTTCAAATTTAATTGTTATTTTTTTAAAAAAAATTCTTTCCTATATATTCCTACTTTTTATAAATTATTTTTATCAATCTTTATTAATACCAATACAAAAAAAAAAAGGAATAAAGGTGTATAAAATTTTAAATGTGTTCATATATAATAAATTTAAAAAGTGACTTATGCTATTTTTTCTCTCAGTGGAGGCAAGTTTAAAAATACTTTTTTAATATTATTTAAAAAGTTACTTCATAACTTATAAATAAAACTAAATGAATCTTATAAAATATGTCTTATAAATAAGACTGAAAAGAATATACAAAAGAAGAGGGATTTTCCAATCCTCCTTATAAATATGTTAACTGCTTATTATAACTTTGTTCTTTTACCTTTATTCGATGTTAATGTAAGTATAATTTCTCTCTATAATATAAAGGCAAAGTAGAAAACTTCTTTCTTATACATTACAAATTTGAAGGCATTGGTATTCCTATTTATAAGATATTTTTACAAAACGTAGACAATAATTGCTGTTTTTTTTCCTGAAAATACATAGTATAAACTTGTACTTTGATTAATTTAAAAAAAAAACAGGTGTGGGAGAAGAGTATTTAGTTGAGGATATTTGTGAAGAGATGGAGTAATTTTACAGGCGTCAATTATTTTTCTTCATTTTCGTAAAGTAGACAAATTTATCATATATCATGAAAGGAGGGAGTACTGTGCCCAAATTTATTACATGATCCCGGAGATTAACGGTTCTAGTGTGCCCTTTTTTTTTTTCGTTGGGGGACGGGTTAAAAACTAGTGTAGTACTGTAGTGTTGCTTGATCAGGATTGAGCCCAATAGACCTCTGTCATGAGGCCGCTTCTTCAACACATCCCCTTAAAGCCTAAAGGCCAGGACTCTGTTGTTATTGGTCCAAGAGAACAAGAAAAGTTCATCAGTTCACTGTTGCTCACGTTCAGGGCTTTCCAACTTGTCAACCTTTCATACCAATTACACAACGCCGCAGCCCGCAGAAGCTTTTGCCCAATTTCCCCCTTCATCCTCGCGTTGATTTTAAGAATACTCGTAAACCTCACATCACATTTTAAGAGCTTACAAATCAGGATAATATATTCAGTGTTACTTATTTATTTAATAAAACATCTCTGTCAGATTTCTCACTGTACTTATGACGCTATTTCCCTTTCCCTCCGAAGTCTTTAAATTATGCAAGCAATAATGACCAGATTCTATTCGTTCACAGAAAAGATCAACGGCTGATCAATGACTTACCATGAAATGAAGCAGTAGTCGTGGGGACATAGTATACGTCACCGTTGAAGTTATTATAACATGCTAGGCTGGAAATGATTTAACCCTCTCGATCAGTGTCAAACACAGTCACGCACTTACAGGTTTCAATACCTTTACTTGTAAGAGGTACTAAAGATCATCGAGATTTATTTTCATCTCCTGCAAAATCATGATCTTGGCAATTAATTCATCAGGGTCCATTATTTAAAAAGAAGAGATGTGAATGAAATGATGCTGTGAAGCAGCTAGCCAGCTGGGCAATGCCATGTGAGTTTGATTTATGAGGTGCGCGAAACCCTTGGCATAGACGGCAGGTTTGATGATTAACATCCACGTTTGCTAGAATATTATTCTATTAAATATCAACATCTCCGAATCTTTCCCAGATCTGAGGCTACTTGATGACGGTGACCTAGCAGGTGCATCCACATATATATGTACGACAAGCGAGCTCTCCTATGCTACAGGTCTAAAATCCTTAACATAATATAGCAAAGTCTAGATCTGATGTTCTGTTTTCCACATGTGGACAAACAAACAGCATTATATTTGTTCATCAGATATCTAATCTTTATATTCTTATCCAACTCGCTAATTTGGGTTTTCTTTTCACGTAACTGTAGATTCGCATGTTTCTTTTCATCCACAAAAAAAAAATCGCATGCTTATTCTTGTACCCACTTTTTGCCGTCACCCTTATTGTGTCCGTGTTCTTGTTTCCAAACACAAGGTGAGAATCTTATTCAGCAATAATAATTAATGAGAAACACTGAATCTAAATGTTACAGAATTTAATTCTCAGGTGTAATTTATCTTTTACTTTCTTTTCTTCACTCAAAACCATAAATCAGGCACGACAGTAAAATTACAAAGGAACGTGTTGAATCTCTATCGTCGCTAAATTGATGGAATATTCCTTGGCTGGTGAAATGTGCTTCTATCCTGTCCGGATCAGATCTAAATTTTTTCTCATGCAACCTAAGCTAAGAACAAACATATCATTTAGAATGGATGAAGACATGAACTTCTGTATTTGAGATTGTAAGCCATTAAACAGCTGAAAGTGGAAATCAAGTTCAAGAGCTGGCCCAGAAAAAAAAAAAAGAAGTTCAAGAATTCCTGAACGTGCAATGCTATGGGAACAAACTATTACATATTCTAGGCCAGTTTCGAGACTGACAAGAGCCATAAGAACCGCAAACCCCCTCCCAAATCAGCACAAGATGTAAACAGATCAAAGTCTCAGAAAGAAAAGACTCCACAATCTTTAAAATATCATATCTCATTGCTACTCACAGATAAGGAAGTTTGATCCTCCATAAACAAATTTGCATTATTATTTTCCAGACCGATGGGGGAAGAAAGGTTTTCATTTTTCAAGATGCTTGGCCCTAGTACTTACTGAATATCCTACACAAATAATATCCCTTCTTAGAGCTTAAGGGATAAATCAAGTTGCTTCGTTTCTTCTTGATCAGTGCTCAGTAGAGTTCCACTTGCCAAATACCCTGTGATTTCTTCAGTGACTGCAGACCCCACCATCGTCTTTACCGTTTCAAACCTACCTATACCACCTCGTGATGACAAGCCTAATGTTATTGTTCTGCGAAAATTAGCCATTTCAGCTAGCTTCCCAAATCTGGGTTTTTGATCAATTACGGGTCTCGACCAACCATGATGTACACGGCTGTTTCCAAACCCATAATTAGAAGAAATATGATAAGGCTTGTGAATCATGGAGTGTGCCTGAATTCCGAGAGGTTTATTACCGGTAGCACCGTGGAGGGGTAGAGACGCCATACTTGTATACCTGTGATTATTACGCAGAAAAGAAAGCCCAAAGTCTGTAGCTGAGGCCAGTGTCTCCCTCTGTCCTCTTTTCGCCATTAACCTCTCCCTCTTGTGCGCATTTTGGTGTCCTCCGAGTGCTTGTGAACTGTAAAACTTCCTCTGGCAATACTTGCAAGAGAATACTCGAGGCTCTGCCTCTAAAGCATCGGGATTTTCTGAAGTTTTAGATTTTTCCATATCAACATCCAAATTGGTGACGAGACGGAGGTCTGGATTGCACCCGCCAGCTGAATCATCACCGTCCACGTTCAGATCCAACAAAGAATCTGTCTTTGCCTCTTCTTCTTCTTCTTCTTCTTTCTCCTCCTTATCAGATGGGTGTTTCTTTTCCTGTGGGTTCTGCAATGGAGTACTTGGACTGGGACGAAGCTCCCCCGCGGAGAGTAGGCCGGAGTTATTGCGAACTCGTTCCATGGCAGATAGCACTAACTTTCTCGCTCCCTTGTCGGTAGTCTGACAAATATTCCTGAGACCGTAAAATGGATATTGAAAAAAGCATATGGGTGGGAGCTTTATGGTTTATCGGATTCCTATATACGGAACAGGTTCAAGTAGTTTGTATCTGTAGACACAGTAACATATCTTCTAGTGTACTTTTGACTTTTGAATGGAACTACATTATATATTCAACCATGTGGCTGTATTAACTTACTGTACACTGCAGTGATCTAGTTGCACTTCCAAATAGAGACCCGCAGAGAATTTTGTAGCATACAATATGCGAAGCTATGGAAAGCAATTATATATATGCCATCATTATCCTCAGGAAAACTGCATGAACCGGTTGATTATGAGGGTTTCCCTAAAGAACATGGCAAACTGGGTCGCTGTCTGCTATAGGCTCATGCAGCGACACGGTGTGGGGTAATTGCCTGTGATGGAAGGGAAAGTTGGCCTTTGGACATCGGAAAGACCAAAGGAATATTATCAAGTGACGCGATCACGCGCGGTATCGGAAGTAACCGAATCATGAAGGGGACAAAGCCAAACATCGCCATGTAGGCCAAACAACTTTCTCTGCACTTGAGAGTCCATCCAGAGGGGGTACCATGCTGTTCCTTTAATTTGCGTTTCTAGTTTTCTGAGTCGCGCATTTGTCTCACCCATTTCCTTTTGACAAGCTATCACCGCTGGGTCTTAAACTCCACTTTATATTTTAGGCAGCCCAGATCCATTTTGGTATAACGATCATCGAGAATGGAAGCTACATGTTGAAATGTGAAAATATAAATAAACGCCTTTGCTTTTCGTTTTCTCGTTTTTATCTCATTTTACAACTTACAATAGATCAACTCAATTTTCTCAAGTTAAAAGGAAAAAAAAAACTAAAATTTTCTTGTTCTTAATTAATGTGGTTCTAGCATTCTAGATAATTTGGCCCAATTATGTTAACTAATTTAAAGGATGGGGAGATTTTTTAGTGTAGAGAGAGAGAGAGAGAGAGAGAGAGGACAAACGGCCGAAAATTAAAAAAGGGGAGACTGATGCGGAGTCCTTTTAGTTGCCCGTGATGGCGGATTTGTATATTGAGTGCGGGAAAAGTTAAAATATTAAAATGTGAAGTGAGAGGAGGACATAAAGAAAGCTAACATTTTTGCTTAGGTATAACCAGGGCTTCAGGCATAAATAATCATTGCTAGCACCATCACAAGTGGATATATAAGGCAACTTTAATGGCAAAGTCGTGAGCCGAAGCCCCACCATTTAAGTGGGTGAGTTTATATGGAATGTGAACAAATCCCACAAGGCAAACAACTCCTAGCAAGTAATGAATACATCGAACCAATTAAATCTCTTGTGCAGATCCTCTCTATCTGTCCACAGTCCAATTCCAAGGGTTGGAAATGAAAACACAAAAAGAACAGGTCCTCATTGGAAAGCCCGCCCACCCATCTCCTCTTTTCTCAAAAGCTCCCTCGTGCATGATAATACCAGAACACTGGACCTGATTGGCCTCCATGTAAATATGCAGATGGATAGAGATGAAGATATGGATAAAAGTTATTGCTCCCGCTGATGATTTGCTTTATTCTTCCGATCCCATTAACCGGCCTTATTTTGTGCTGCATCGATCATATCTTAAACTCAGAGCTGCCATATTCACACATTCAAAGGTCTTTCTTTTAAGTGGCTTCTGTTACTTTAATTTATAAGATAAGGCAAGTTATTGATAAAAAGGATCAGAAGCGTATTGTTACGTCCCACGTTAGAGGATTTTGGAAAGGGTCCTAAGCATGTAAACTGGTACACTACATACCCCACTAAATTAATCTTTTGAAGAAAAAAATAATGGCCTTATGATAAAATAATATTAGAATTAGATCTAAGTTTGTCTAGTTTGTAGATCCCTCCAATGGACCATCCATGATGAAGGTATCACAAGTTGGTTGGGAGAGCTGCAACATCACACATTATGGGTATATCAACGGCTGCTATACATCTCACTGAGCTAGCTTTTTCTTAAAAAAAAATAATGGCTTCATGACAGTATGAGTGTGTGAACATAGGAGGCAATAGGGACAGATGAGAGTGAGTGTGGCAGTGCAAATACTACATAGAGGTTCAAATATGGACTCTAACTGAACCTTTTTCCACATCTTCTTATGTATGGTAACCATATTAGGTTAAAATTCTTAAATTTCTCCTTTAAAAATATGAAATTAATAACTTTTATGTATTTATTAATAAATTATATAATTTTAGAATGAATTACATGAATTGTATTACTCAAAACTTTTATAATTATGATGTCTCCTCAATAATTTTGATACATGTAGATTTTTCATAAAAATTAATAAAATTTAAACATTGTATTTAATAATTTTTTGTCAAAAGTATTATATTAAATTTTTTATAAACTCTAAATTTTTTTTAAAAAAATTAATTGTTCATTAATAATTTTAACTTTCAGTGATTAATATATTTAATGAATCAAATTATAAAGGCCTGATTAAAAATAAATAAATTACAGAAACTTAATTTGAACTTTAAAAAAATATAAGGACTTGTAAATTAATTTTTCTTCATTGCATATGTTGTGTGATGATTGTTGCGTTACCATCTATGTACTCTGCTGTGTCACCATCGATATAATTGAATTAAGAATAAATCATATACAATTTTCTTAAACTTTGAATCATATATAAATAACTCTCTTCACATTTAAAACTTAATAATAAACATTTTCAAGTTTTTAAGTTTATGCAAATAATCACAAGCCATTAATTATGTACCCCTTAAACTTTACTTTTATGTGTATTCAAGTCCTTAAACTTTGATTGATACATAGACAACTCTTATAAATTTTAAATTATGTGTAGATAATTGATGTATAAAGTTAATTATATAAAGTTGTCTATATAAATATAAAAGTTTAGGGGGGTTTATAGTAAAATTTTAAAAGTTAAGGAGGTCATATGTACATAATTCAAAGTTTAGAGGAATATAATTTAGCCTTGAATTAAAATAACAATTTTTTTTATTCTTAATTAGTCGGCCGTGATATTTCATGTCTGCCATCTGAATTTAGTCAGTCTTCGACTTCATGGGAGGACTAATTGTCGTGTTTATTTTTATTTAATTGTAATCATATTAAATTCGGATGATTTAAATTGTTTTATTTTTATTTTTTTTAATTTTAATCTAGAGAGTTGAAAGAAACATATTGCAAGTTTTAGAAACAATAATTTTTTAATTGTTAACTTCAAGACTACGATGAATTTAATTTTAAATCCAAGTCATTTAAATGTCTGACCAAAAAAAGTCATTTAAACACTGTTCATTTTGATAATCTAATCCAAAATATAAGTAGTTTTTAAAAAACCTTCACATACTAACAAACATAGTTTGTTCCGGTTTATGGAAAAATAGTTATATTTTGGATTGGATGGAGTATTTAAAAGTTCAGGTCAAAAATATGATTTAAAACTAGGATACAAAATCCTCTAAATTTTACTGTCTAAAGTTTTATGAATTTTAGATTGTATGAGTCATTGATTAAGCAAAGTTATATAACTGGGTCACCAGATAAAAGTAACGGCAGTTTGCTTGAGTCATCAAGCGGTTTCAATGCACAGTATTAATTAATAACACATAAAAAAAGGTACCCTCTAATTATTTATTCAATGACAATTTGATGCCATTTGATTCAAGCAACAGTTATGTTATCTTAAATTTATAGAACTTTAGAGTTAGACCACCAACTTGAGAGGATTTTAATCCTTAAAACTAATGCGTTCTTGCGATGTCATTGACCTGCCTCCACTGACTCTCCTTTTCATACGTGTCCAAGCTTCAATATAAGCTGCGCCTGTCTGGCTTTGATCTAATGCCATTTCCTTGCGTCTGCAAAACAATGTGCGGTTTTCTTTACACAATCAATATGCGAAGGTCAACCATTTGCCGTCAAAATTCTAACACGCAACAGTGTGCTTTTAAGATACTAGCACTACAGAAGAAGGTTTCTCATAATAATAATTCATCTGGTCCATCTTAAAAAAGATGAGTTATGTTTTGTATTGCGAGTTGATGTAAATAAATTGAAAAGTCAAACATATATAAGGAGTTAAAGATAAGAGATGCTGTCACCTCCGCACTGAACGCTGGAATAAAACATGCACCTAGAAGCAATTAGTCGCTGTGATTGAAGCCGCTGATCCCCAAAGTCAGCTCCACCAGGTCAGCCCACCAAGGTCAACAGAAGTTACGAGATTGATTGCAGGAACACATCCATTCAGGATAAACCCAAATAGTCTCAGCCCAATAACGCTTGACCCGGTCAGATCTACTTCGATTCCAGTCAACTCCACATCGGAAGAATAGCAAACTCCGTAAGATTAAGATCCCCACGACATTCTCACACACGTATACGCAAGTCGCCACTATTCCTTGCGAATTTTTTTTTTTTTAATAAGAAGATTCGGTTGTATGAAAGGTCACGTGAGCTGTCAAATTGGCGGTTACCATTTGCTCCTTAAACCAATAACGGAAGCAGAGCTACTACAGGCCTGGTAAAACAGGATAAAAGTGCCACGCTTCTTATTTGTTTGATTGAATATCTTAGTCGATATATTTCATGTGCTATGTTACTTCTTGTTCACTCGTTAACCTCATCGGTGGATATTACAACAATTGCACTAAGTGCTGCATTCCCCAAAGTGCGCCGATCCAATCACCTGGCGGGATATAGTGACCCTTCATAGTGGCCACTATTTATTCAGCTCGCGTGGTCCTGCGCTTCTACATCGATCAAACATGTTACTTTATCTGAATTATTTTTGAAGGAGCGTTAAGAGAAAAGTCGCCAATCGCTAACTAATTCAATAAATGAGACGAGAAACAGGTAAAACCAATCTCCAACGCATAAAAATCATTAGTATTTGCTGGTGGACGGAACTATACGCGTAAGCGACGTCGTCATATATATGCAGCAATGCTGTTCTAGACGTTTTGACTTGTGTTCCAGTGGTTAGCGCTGTCCAATTTTGTTTCATGTGTTTGATTGCTTCCTCATTCCCCTAATAATTAGTGGAGGGTTCAATTCAAACCCACTTTAAGCCGAATCACTTCACAACTTTCCAATCGCTACTGCCAGCCAAAGGTGCCCGTTCATATATATAAACAATTAACCCCTTGTCCTATATAAAGAACTTGTTGTCTCGTCCCTCGTATTGCAACTCACAACAAACATGACCTCCATGGCTTTCCACAGCTTCATGCTCCTCCTGCTATTGGTCATGATGCGCCAATCATCAGTTGAGTCCGGCCCTTCTTCTTCTTCCTCTTACCCAACACCATCCGCATCTAATGTCAGAGCCGCGTACTGGCCTTCCGGCAGTGACTTCTCTCCCTCTTCAATAAACACAGACTACTTCACCCACATTTACTATGCCTTCCTGGAGCCCGACCCCGCTGACTCTTTCAAGCTTGGCGTCACCGAATCTGCCGAGACTGAGATCCGCAAATTCATCAGCGGCCTCCATTCCCGCAACCCTCCTGTCAAGACTCTCTTATCCATCGGAGGAGGAAGCAGCAACTCCTCCGCCTTCTCCGCCATGGCGAGCACCCCTCAGACTCGTTCCGTCTTCATCAATTCCACCATCCAAGTGGCTCGCCGCTACGGTTTCGACGGTCTCGACCTCGACTGGGAGTTCCCTGACACCGCAAAAGACATGTCCAACCTCGCTCTCTTGTTTCAGGAATGGCACCAGGCTCTGGTTCTGGACTCCAGAATTCAACGCAAGCCACGCTTGCTTTTAACATCCGCAGTGTACTACGCCAACACAATAGTGCTCATCGGTAACGAGCCGAGGTCGTATCCGGCCGAAGCAATACGCAGATTCTTGGACTGGGCTAGTCCCATGAACTTTGACTATCACGGAGCCTGGTCTAACTTCACGGGGGTCAACGCCGCTCTCTTCGATCCAAAGAGCAACATTAGCACCCACTACGGCATCGGGTCGTGGATCCGGGCCGGCGTGCCTCCTTCTAAGCTCGTCATGGGCTTGCCTTTGTATGGGCGGACGTGGAAGCTTGCGGACCCAAAAGTTCATGGAATTGGGGCTCCAGCGGTGGGGCCTGCCACTGATACTGATGGGACCATGGATTACGATAGGATTTTAGAGTTCAATAAGGAGAATGGGGCTACTGTTGTTTATGATGGGCTTAGCGTGTCCTATTACTCTTACGTTGGCACCTCTTGGATCACATATGATGATGTCTGGTCCATTAAAAGGAAGGTCCAGTTTGCTCGCTCTTTGGGCTTGCATGGCTACTTCTTTTGGGCCGTTAATAAGGACAAGGACTGGGCCCTCTCCAGACAAGGTATGCTTAATTTTTTAATCCTCCATTTTTCATCCAAAAATATGCTTAGTTTTTGTTATTATGTTTCCAATTAAACATAGTTTTGATAACAATCGTGTGATAAATATATAATCTTTAAAAATGTATTATTCTGCAGTGCGTATTTTGAATGAAAATTTACCTGGAATTTTTTTCGTTTGTTGTGGCAGCTTCGAATACATGGGGACGTGGAGGGTACTAAGTCGCTGTCTATTCAGAAAGAGCCCCGGGTCATGCGATGTTCAAACCTTCGATGCAGAATTAGAGCGTTGGAATTGGACCAACTACAGACTTTAATCCAAAACATTCGTTCACCTGACATTAGAAGTGGAGCATCAAAATAAAGGTTGCCTCCTGTTCGATTATGGCAGTCTATATGCAAATGTACAAGTCCGTTGACGTGTAATTGGAAAATGCTATCCTAGCTTTAGTCCAGTAACAGTATGAATTTTTACTATATTTTGGAACCCTCTGTTTCCCGTTCATCTCTAATAAATCGAGAAAAGACCAATACTTTTTTTTTTTTCAAATTAAATGTGTCATTAGTAACTAAAATGTGGCTCCAGCATCTTGGGCATCATTTATTAATTTTTCTCTACACTTATAACCAAGCCGGAATTCACGAGTCAGGTTTGACCTTTGCTTAGCGCACGATCTAAGGAACACCCAAGTTGGGCCAGTATTGAATGAAAAAATATCAAGAAATAATTTCAAGATCTGAAGCAAACTATACATCATTATAAGGGGAAAAGGAAAGTATGGGTGTACAGTACTTCAACGTACTCGAAAGACAAGATGAAGAAATTAAGTTTGACGCACAAAGTTGCACAGTTCAGCCCGAGGGGAAGCCATGTGCCTTCAAAAAGCACGGGATATCCCGAGATTTTGTTCCAACAATGAGCCTTTTGAGATAATCTTATTAAATAAGAGAGGGGCCTCACGCTGCAAAGTTCATGCCCATTTCTAAATCTTATTGGTGGACGCTTAATGATGTGCTTTGGATTTGGATAATCATGAATGAAGTCGCTCAACTTTTGGATGCCTTGTGAATTGTGTGCGGATCTTCCAACATGTGATCTCGGGAGCCAACTCCGAGGAAGCAACTCTGTCTTCCTTTCTTGTTGCACTTGCAGGCTTGCAGCTATCTCGGCCATATTCTTCATATCCTGATCCCAAGCTAGAAATTAACAGGAAGAAATACACATGCCTAATACAATATATGTTCTGCGACTGAGAATCAATTCTCATTGAAATTATACAGTTGGTATACAAATCTCATCAATGAAGCACCCTTCCCACAGTGTGGTGCTTGATGATACAAAACCATGAAAGGCAGCACTTTTAAGATGGTTATTATCATCTGGGATTATCATTTAGCTCACTAAAATTGTCGTTATCCCGGGCAATGATGCTGGGCGGTGCGACGAAGGGGGTAGGAACCCCACAGGCGTCAATCAACTTAGTGGGGTTTCAGCTAGCAAGAGATGATTCTGTGAGCAAGTTGGTCAGCATTCACAGGATGCGGAGTCATTATCTGCTTTTCCGAGGAACCTCCGTGGAAGTGGCAATCCTAAGAATATCGAGTGATGCGAAGAGAGGCATTATTGGAAGCGCACGCACAGGTTGTTTGGTTACAGTTGTTGATTTGATAGGAGGAAGGAGATAACGTGAAAAACTGGGTGGGAAGAGTGAAGACAAGGGAAAAGGGTTCAAAAGGCGCATGATTGCAGAATGCACTAAAGGCAAAAGAAGAAAAGCACAAGGGATGGGGTGAAGGCTGAAGAGGGAGTGTGATGATGAGAGAGGAGTGCAAAAAACAGGGGCGACTTTTTGGATGAGTGGGGTTTTCCGTATTCAAATAATGAAGCTGCACAGATAGAGACAGAGAATTCGTTCCTGTCTTCAAGCACGCCTACTTTCCCCTCCCTCCTTCTTTGCGGTGGTCCACCCTCAATATTCTCCCATTTTGAAACCCCCACGCATTCTTATATTCACTGGTTTTATTCCTTACAATTTGGGACACGACCAACTATTGTCATTTGTTCATTAAAATCATATATTGCTAATAAGTTGGGAGCTATTCCCTTGTAGCACGGCAAACTAAATTTGAGTTTCCGTTAAATAATGTAATTTTTATGTTTAATTATACTTCAAACGGGACTTGCTTTCAATAGGAATTGATATATTTCAAAGAAATTCTATAAACGGTAATGTGATTGTCACTAATAAAGGTTAAATTTCAATTATTTTTATTTATCCACCATGCACATTGATCTCAAAATAATTGAACAAAATTCTTATTATTAATTTATTATAGCTTATGGACATTCGTTTACTTGAAACAATAAAACTCGTGTCTTGCAAGGATATAAGGAAACATGTATTCTAGCTTGGGCGAGCTTTTGGAATTGATTCCCGCAAAACTTTTGTTGTCTAGATTATTTACTAAACTAGATTCGCTCTAAGGATGATCGTTGATAAGAAAATTAATTTACTTGAGGTATCTCACTAAGCTAATAAACTTATTCAAGAAAAAGCTAAATGGATGGGGTAGAGCCCAGTGTGAGGAAGAAAGTAGAGAAATCCAATAATGTCATATTTAGATCACTTCAATTAGAAACATAATTATAAATAATATTTTTGGATCTGCAAAGACATATTAGAATCAGTTGGGTTTCAAGTGCCGACTCTCCCCATGATAGCATGGGAGCTTCGACTCTCCCCTTAGTGGGAGCCTTGATTGGCATCTAGATGGCGTCTGTATTCTCTTGTTCTTCGACGATCGTTAGAGATGTCTACACTGGTGGCCATGCTCACTATAGAAGAAGCTGATTCTTTCCATCATTATTTTGAAGAGGAGATCATGGAAGGGAAGGATGAGGATTGGAAGGTAAAGATTGAGCCAAATTTCAGCCAGGAGAAGGACGTTCTGGAGGAAATAGTGCTGATCAACCTTGATAGTGTTGATTTTCGACATGGATTTGAGCTGTTAGGGCAGGATAGTGAACTGAACTATTCGATCTAGAGTGTTGGTCAGGATGTATCGATCAGCATAATCGGTATGATGCTTAACAATGGTGAGTTGCGAAGCTATATGAAGGATTTTCTGAAGTTAATTTGGATGATTCCAATGTCTGTTAGGTTGAACGATTTGAGTCTGAAGTAGCAAGTAAGGTATGCTCTATTTATCGAATGGCAAGTTTTGAATAATCATCCTGACTGATAGAGATTGTTTTTCAATATAATGGATCTATTGTGCAAGAAAATGAGTGAGAATGAAAAAGTGTTGGCTATATGTGAATTGATGAATGTGTCTTCATATTTTCTGAAACCATCTGGGAAGATGGACTAGTTAAGTGATTTCTTGATTGAATATGGGCTTGCTATTAACGTGGATGGTGCTCGTATTATGGTTATGTTCTCTATTGATTCTATCTTATTTGGTGTGTATCTCTAGCTATGGTTTGATAGATTTGTCAAGTTATGTTTCATGCTCTGCCTGATGATGATTCAAGATGTAATGGTTAAAGGTCTTGGGAAAGCATATTGTGAGAGCTCAGGAGGTTGGCTTATAGCCACCAAAGTGCCATGAAGATTAATTGGTGTAGGTACTAAGGGTTGAGGGCTCTCTTGGTGGTGTTGATGGAGATCGTTTTGCCCTTAATAGTTAGCAGAAGTGTTCTTTGTAAGCTTGTGTTTGTGTCTTTTTTGCTTGTTAATAAGAGAGATTGCTTCTTATGGATCATTTGGCTTTGCTGTGGGTGTTGTTGCTTCAATCCTATGGTATTCTTTGTTGACCTGAAAGTTATTTTTGGCTTTCAGTGTTGTTCTTTCCCTCTTGTGTTGAGAGTGGTTGATGATGCTGCTTTAATGAATGTAGCTTTGGTGCATAAGGGTGTGGGCTCAATGTTTGAGCAAATCTTTGGACTACCACCCCTTCCAACCGTTTTCATGGTGATTATCATGGGCTTCAAAATACATAAGACTGTCTACTACACCTTGGCTAATTTCTTAATGTGTAGAAGAATTGGTCTTATCATTGTTGTGTCTTTCAATTTTTTTGTGGGGCATTTTGAACTGTTGTTTGTTAAGGGTTTGTTGTTGGGTTGAATGATTAGTGCTTGTATTGGTGACTCTTTTAATGAATTATTTTTTTCTCTGTCCAAAAAAAAAAAAAAGAATCAATTGGGTTTCGTCTGCAAATATATTCATTCCAAGGACCTGACTGCTATTCTCCTTAAATAACAACACGGTTAAAAACTTGAAATATACAAAATGGAGACTTTAAGATCTTTAATTAATATGATTTATATGATATATTAAAGTGTCATGTTTCTTGTTTCCTAAATTGAATTATCAATAGACAATGACCGTTAATTTCGCTCGGTGAGTGCCAAGAATTTTTCACTCTGACTGAATGATTGTGTAACAGAAAAACTCCTACATGACCCCCCCCAAAAAAAAAAAAAAACAGAAAAACTCCTAAAGAGACAGAATTCGAATACCCAACTTAATACATGTAATCTGTACGCACAGGTTTCAGCTATCGAGCTCCGCAAACAAACAAAAGACTTAAATTTATGTTTCTCAAAATTAAAGGCTTGATTTGAAAGCTGGATATCGAACTAGGAAATGTAATTAGTGCATATATTACTGGCAACACAAGGGACGATTAGTGCGACCACAATCTCATTTTACTGGCAACACAAGTGATGAATCCGTAATCATAGAATCCATCCAAGCACCGTCCATCCAATATTTCTTTCTTATCCTCTAAGCGCGTGGTTATGACGCATTTGTTTTCGGTGGATTCCTGGTATCTAAAACGAGAAATAAGGTCCGTTTGGGTCCAAGTCTACGTTATTCAATTCCCTTTCGCTGTCTGTAGATTGTCGTAGATTCTATTTCTTAATCTACTGTTACAGGAGAAATAAGAGAAAAAAAGAGCTAAATTCCTTTCAAATTTATGGTTTTTATTCCTCTACATCATCACATTCCCCTTATCCCTGCCTCTCCCTGCTAAAGATTTTATTCGTTAGACTATGCGAATCCTTTTCTTGGCATCTATTTCGTTTCATGTGGTTATTGGTTCCATACCCATATAACAGTGATCACAGTTGAAAGTTAAATCCGTCTAAGGCTCAAAATCTCTTCCATCGTCAACTGATTTTGTTCGTGAGTACGTCGTGTCAAGAAAATGACGGTGGAGACCAGAATGGATGATCCCGGAGACCAGTTTCCTGTAGGAATGCGTGTTCTTGCCGTTGACGATGACCCGACTTGCCTCTACGTGTTGGAAACTCTTCTTCGAAGATGTCAATATAACGGTTTGCTCCTTCTTCTTTTGATTTCTCCTTCACTATTCTATCTCCCCTCTGCGGGTTCGGGATTTATATATATATATATATATTTATAGATTTTGAGTGTCAGCTGGTTTTTCTATGTTGAATCTGTTGGTTCGTTTGGCTATGTAATGTTCAAACTGGAAGGACTTGTATTAATTAATTGCATGCGGGAGATTTTGGCCAGTATACAATGTAGTCTTCTTGTTAGCTTTAACGGTTGGCTTTTCTACTGGATGACATGAATTAGTTCACTGACGGGTTGCATTTCACAGTTCATCATGTCCTATTCTCAACCTCTCCGCCTCTCCTCCTCTAGCATCACTCTTCTTGACTTGATCTTTTCTCCCTTGCTCCCTCTTTCTCTTTCGACCTCTCCTTTCTTGAGTTTCACCGATGGAATCTCATCTTAATCGGATACCAAGGGGATGGGTTGTGCTGTTTTACTGATTGGAGTTCTCATCTACAGAACATGTGACAGTTGTTTTGTGTTCTCTGTGTGTGTGTGTGAAATTTGTGAACGTATTGTTTTATAATGATATTTATTTTGGTCACGGCTGATGATTTTGCAGTGACAACGACTAGTCAGGCAAGAACAGCATTGAAGTTGCTGAGAGAAAGCAAAAACAAGTTTGACCTGGTTATCAGTGATGTTCATATGCCAGACATGGATGGATTTAAACTACTCGAGCTTGTAGGACTTGAGATGGACTTACCAGTCATAAGTAAGCACACAAATCTTTGCCAGTTCATCTCTTTCTATTTCTCGCGTTTTCTCTTCAAATTTAGTGTCTTTTAAGACGGTCAATATTAGATTGTTGAAAATTAGGATTTTTAAAGTTTTTAAAATAATGAAGTTTCATAGATGATTTGACTTTACAAATATAAAACCTTAACGTTTTCAGTAGGCTGACTTAAGAATGCTTGCGGATGGTCCTCTGCAGTTAATATGTTATAAAATGTTTGGTTTCAGTGTTGTCAGCATATGGTGACCCAAAGCTAGTGATGAAGGGAATTACTCATGGAGCATGTGATTATCTTTTAAAACCTGTTCGAATTGAAGAGCTAAAGAACATTTGGCAGCATGTTATCAGGCGGAAGAAGTTTGACTCGAAGGAGCAGAACAACCCCCACAACCATGACAAGCCTTATGCTGGTAGTGGCAGTGGCCTAGCATCAGCAGGAACAAGCAATATAGATCAAAAGATGACCAAGAAAAGGAAGGATCAGAATGATGAAGATGAGGACCATGATGAAGACCCATCAACACAGAAGAAGCCTCGGGTTGTCTGGACAGTGGAGCTGCACCGCAAATTTGTTGCTGCTGTTAATCAGTTAGGCATTGACAGTATGTTCTTCTCTTTGCCCTTTACCTACAACTGAAACTATAACTAATTTCCCCAAAGAGCTTTATCAAGGCTTGTTTTCTTTTGATTTCTTTAACCCCCCTTTTTAATGAATATTCTGGGCATATTATTGCTATCCAATTTAGGGCTTTATGTGATATGATAATTTTATTCAGAATTATTATTATGGAGATGCTATTGATTCCTCTTTCTAATCATAAGAGCCCCTGAGGGTAATTATCATGTTATAGTCTGGATCCTGTATTTCTTTTTTGTGACAAAAAATTATCCGTTTCCAAAACAAGTTTGAGCATCATAATAAATTTGTTTTGGTGGCAGAGGCTGTGCCTAAAAAGATTCTTGATATGATGAATGTTGAAAAGCTTACTAGGGAGAATGTGGCTAGCCATCTCCAGGCATTTTTCTAAACCTTCCTGCTTTATCTTAATATGACCTGAACTTTTTCTTCCAGGGAGCCTTATTATTGGATTTTCTGGTGTTTTGCAGAAATATAGGCTTTATCTGAAAAGAATCAGCTGTGTGGCAAACCAACAGGCTAATCTGGTGGCAGCCTTAGGTACTGCGGATCAATCCTATTGGAGAATGGGTTCTTTGAGTGGGCTCAGCCATTTGCAAACATTGAGTGCTTCTGGACAGTTCCAGAACAGTGTTTACAGATCCCTCCCATCTAGTGGGGTGATTGGTAGGTTGAACACTCCTGCTGGTCTGGGTGTGCATGGACTGCCTTCTTCAAGAAATATTCAGTTTGGTTGTTCACAGAATTTAAACAATTCTATGAATGATCCGCTCAAGTTCCAGTTAACCATCGTTCATACTAACCAAAATGGCAATGCAGTTCCGGGAATAGTAGGTTATACTGAGCGTGATCAATTACAACACCATAAGCATAAAGGCCTTAGTCCTGCTCAAGACCTGACCAATGCTATTGATGATAAAATGATTTTACCCATCTCTTGTGAACAACTTGATCCAACACAAAGAGTATCTGCCAGTTGCTCACTCACTCCACTTCTGAGTGTAAAAAACAACACTTTTATGGTAGAAGCACATTCTCAACACACACAACGGGGCAGAGCATATGAGAATTTATCTTCAACAGATTCTCAACCTTCAGAAATTTCTTGCTCTTTGCTGGATCAGGGTAGTTGTGGTGATTATTGGTCTGATAGTGTGCAGTCATCTCAAATCCATCCAAATTCTTATCCACCAACTCGGGGTTCTAGACAAGCAGTCGTACTTCCTACAGAGAACTTGACTTCTACGCCTTTGCATGTTAGGAATCCAAGTGGTGCTTCATCCATCACTTTAATGTACACTCAAGCCCCTGATGTAACAGAAAATTCGAATTCCCAAGTAGACATTTTTGCTAATACACCTGGGCAAATAAGCAGTGAAGTATCATTTCAAGGGTGGGATGACCGAAATCAGGATGCTGCTTACCATTCAAATGTTATTTGCAGCTCTATAAACTCTCTGATTCCTGTGAATGGCGGTGTTAGTGGACCAGCTAGTCCACCAGCAGACTCAACCTTCTACCGAAACTTGGACTTCAATTGTTGTGATCCCATACAAACCAAGCATGATGGGGTTGCAAAAGTGGCTGAAGCAATCTCATTGAAACAAGGTCAAGGGTATATCACAGGCCAGCAGAAGGCACAACAGAGTCGCATATCTAATAATCTGGGTTCACTGGATGACTTAGTCGGGTCAATGATGAAACAGGTAATAGCATTTAATTAATGCTATTTGGCCCTTCCAAAGGTGTTTCTGCATGATTCCTCATTTTAATTTATAGTCCTCACATAACTAATGGCTTGACCACTTGTAGATGCATCTATCTGTAACTTCTGATTACTGTGTAGACACCGTTACATGTTCTGAATTACCTTTAAAAAATGTCCGATATATTACTGTTCCTCTGTAGAATGATGCTATTACGTTCCCTTGTCTTAGACACCTGTTATCTATCAGTTTCCTTCTTCTCTATCACCATGATTACGCACTTGCTGGCCTTCTTGCATGTCATTCTCCTTTGAGTGGATAAAATGCATCAGCTTTAAATGGGAGATTTTAATGATATTAGCAACATCGATGCTGTTTTATACGCTAAAGAGGAAGGGACTTCATACGCCATTGACTCGAATTGGTTATTTAGTCTTTAAATTGGCTTCATATGTTCTGTCTGGTTTTTGTTATTCCATTTTTTTTTAATGTTTAAACTTTATCTGCGTCTCATGTTCTATTGATCTACACTGTAGTAGTCTAGATCTACTGGTCAAATGAACGATACACAGCTCTCACTTCTATCAATTTTGTGAAGTTATCTTTTTTGGCCCTTCTGAGTTTCACACATTTCCGCAAGAGATTGCGTTGGTTAAATTTCTACGCTTAATGTGTAAAAAAAAAAAAACTCGAATTTTGGTTTTGATTTGGGTAACTACTTGTTCTGCTAATGACATTAATTATCATCTGACGCAGGATGTAGACAAGGTGAAATTGTTGGATGGAGACCTCATGTGTAACAATTACACCGCGGGTTCATCTATGTGACAGCATTTTGGCACTATATATAAGCATCTTGCTTGTTGAAGAATTTTGTAGTTTGCGATATTTCTCTTGGGGTTCTAGTTTTCTGTAGGCTGTGGCCCCTATAGATACTTCTTGACATGTAATGGCTTGTCAGTTTTCTCTTCATGAAATTGCATTGTTGTCTTGTCCATGGGTCTGACAGTGCATTATGGAATTAATTATGTTGTCTCTGTAGACATGCTCTGCTAGCAAATATGTTTAGTGTCTCAAAATCAAGATTAAGTTGATTCTTATGCTAACACTGGACGTGGGATTCTCCAATAAAGAATGCAAATGTTGAGGCACAAAACAAAAGGACATTCCTTTTATCATTACATTTATTAATCAACTCGTTCTCGCGTAATCGCTTACAGAACGACATTCCGGCCCCGGAAACAGCTCTTTCGAGCAAACCCTACACGGCAAAATTAAAGTAGTTTACTGTACGAACAGTCACTTTACTTTTAGAGTACATCATAATATTTGTCCATGAACGGTTATACAAATTTTCAGTTTTGTCCTTCCAACTGTAAAATTCTTGATTTCGTTCCCCACGATTTTATTTTTCTAGTCAATTTTATCTCTAATTTGGGTTTTCATGTTAAGCTGACATGAATTAACTTAACAGAAAAGTTATGTGGCTATTAGGCCGATTAAGATGCCACACTTGGTGTCCAGAAAAGTGTAAACCTTTAAGCAGAACACGTTCATGATGTTTCTGCTTGGAAGATTCAAACTGGAAATGATATATGTAGCCTTTCTATTGGCCTTGGGATAGGAAGTAGTCGGCAAAAGCAGGGATGGTTTGGGGGTGCAAGCCAATTCTGACATCAACAGCTCCATTGTCAGAAGGATTGGGCATGAAGTAAGCAACCTGTGGAACTGGAGAGGCGAGAGGAGAAACACAGGCTGCTTTTCCATGAAAGAAGCCGACATTATGGAATGGCATCCTCGTCCAATCAGAAACCAAGGTTAGCTCCTTCAGAGGAGGGAGGCTTCCCTGTGCTCCTGATTCCAATGCCTCCACGTAGGCTTTCACATAGGCGTGGTTCACTCTGTTCTTGGCCCCTCTTATCTTCTCCACGATCCTTGCATAGCTTTCCTCTTCCACTTCTCTCACAGACATCATCACAGACGCGAGAACATAAGCGTTCCCGCTGAAGCCTTTTGGTGATGCAGGCACCATCCTGTTCCTAGTATCCACTGCGAACTGCAAGCATACCTTCTTTTCTTTCCTCGCTCCCAATCCCAATGCTTTGATCCTCGCCTATCCCATAATCAAACAAATGTTCAATTTGTATTGGAGAGTAGAAATATCGATTACCTTTCAAAACATCCTCAGTGCAGATGCATGATCCAGAGGAAGTGAGAAATTAAGTTACCTTCCAAAGGTGAGATGCAAGAACCTCGAAGGTTGAAAATATAGGGGAGTGATCTGTGCTCATAGAGAAGTGTTTCCTTTTCAAGCAATCTAGGAGTGAACTGCTTACGTGATAGGTCATTAGCAAATAGTTGTTTTGTTCGGAGCCTCCAATATTTGGCTGGTGAAAGCCTTTGCATTCAGAAGCTGCTTGCATTATCAGCTGATATAGATGATCTATTGCCACGGCCTTTGTCTGCTGATCATGATTAGAGTTTCTTGAGTTTGAAGGCATATTCATCAGAGGCATAGTCCCTTTTTGGGTTTGACGACTTCCACTCAATAGTATCCCTCTCTCAAGCACTGGTGTTGCCACCTCGCCATGCCTAATTCCTTTTAGAATTTCAGAGTTAGAAGCCCATGCACTCAAGAATTCATAAGTTGCTGGTCCGTCAAATAGCGAGTGGCTTGTCCCAATCCCTATTGAGTACCCTCCACATCCAAATTTCGTCACCTGTGCATACCAAAAATCACTATTTTCTTATGTTTCAAAAAATTGATCGTGTCTAATTCCGTAGCTTCGATCCTCACACCCCCACTCTCCCAAAGGGAGGGAGAGAGGGAGGGAGCGAGAGAGAGAAAGAGAGGACAAAAAAAAAGTTTTCTAAGGTAGAGAAATTGTACCAAAAACCATAAGAAAAATGAAAATATAGGCAATTGCATACATATGAATTTATTTGTGAATAAGAATCACGTTAATCAAAGAAAGTATCTAGGAAGAACTTGCGATCACCCTTGTCTATTGTGAAGGCAACATATCCCCGAATAATCTCATGCACATGCACGAACATATATGTATTCAATGATCACATGGGCACAACATTGGTTTCTTAAGAAAATATCAATCAAAGACTGCCGAAAGAAAGTTATATCAGTTAAAAATTATGTTATTAAAATTTAAATAAATATTTATTGATTCGGGTTAGTTTTTTATCAACAAATATTCATTTAAATTTTAACAACAACTTATTTTAAATTAATAACAATTTATTTAGACTTTTTATTTGAATTTTGACAACAATCAATGATTGATATAAATTTTTTCCCGGTCCTTCATCACTATTTTCCCTAGTTTCTTTCATTTGTGTGTGTATATATAGTACAAATTAACAAAAATTAATTCTCCTCCCATTATTGATTTGATAAATCACTTTTGTGGAAACTAATTACTTCACGGATGTGTAAGAGAGATCTACACATGCCGTGTATTTCTGATCTTCGTATATATTCAGAAGACTTCTCTAGATTTTAAGAGATTTTATGCATGTGAAGCTAGGTTGTAACACGCATATTACGTATCTCACCTGAGCAACAACAAGAGGCATGTTGAGAAATTGGCATGAAAAGGTGGCTTATAAACGAGCTTTTCAAAGAATTCGTTGTACTGAGACAAGTCTCCAAGTTGTGAGACTCTAACTGGGGCTTGTGCCTCCGCCATAATTGCACCCTCGTTGTTGCACCACAGGTTCAGCTTCCCATCGCCTTGGCTCACCCTCAGTCTACCTGCAGCCGGGTACCAGACGCTTAGGGTTTCTTCCAACCCTGATTTCAAGCTGCTGAAAACTGAACTAAGGGTCAGATCTTTAAAAGCCTGAGATGTGTTATAAAAGAACACCACGTACATCAGAGTAGGACACTGTCTGTCTAAATTGGAGAGGTTCAAAACCCTCCCAGCAGCCTGCACATGCTTTGGATACACAGACACAACCCTTGAAATTGAAACTAGGGCATTACTAGGGCTAACATAATTGCCATGTCTGGTTGTGGTCATGATTGAATCCGGCTTAGTTTCTGCTGAGATCAGTCCTGACGCAGATATGGGTGATCAAGGGAAAATCAAAAGGTTAGTACACAAAAGAGAGAATGTTATTAGCTATAGTAGGAGGCTAGCATCATTCATGGTGAAGTTGCTGATGAAGAGGGTTTATATAATAGGATGAAGAATGTTTAGTAATGCATCTTCTTTTTGGTAAAATAAATATATTATTCTGCATGGTACTGTGTGTGTGTGTGTGTGTGTGTGTGTGTGTTAGCAGCTAGCAAAAGCAGTTTCCGTTGAGTCGCCTACTGTATTATCTGGCTCGCACTTAGAGGAAACGACCTAGTACCCTCTCTATCATGATGTATATTGTCATCTCCAAACCAAAATTATCGTCTTAATTCAACCAAATGGCCTTAATTTGGTCAGACATTTGTACTCCATTAGGGTTAAAAATTTATGGGAAAAAGAAAAGAAAAGAGACAGAGCTTTAAACCGTAGAAACTGTTTTCATTAACTAACTGTATGCCCATCCAGTTTTCCTACTCTGCAAGAGAAGTCATGCATTGTTATACGAATCAAATGTTTGGATATTATTAATTTTTTGTCAAATTTATGTTGAATTCTTCCGTAAATGAAATAAAAATATAAATGCTAATTATCAAGCTTTGATTGCCATTCATTGTGTTATGTAATATATATTGATGTTATCTCATACAATTACTTGCATGTTCTGGTATGTGTACTTGTTTTTATCTTGAAATTATTTTGGGGATATGATCATTACCAAGATCCCAGAAAATCAAGCATATATTGTATGGTACTATTGTATGCACGATCGAAGTCGCCCAGTTCAAGGTTTTAACCATCAAGAATTATCCAGACACAACATAGTAAAGGACAAGTGTAACTTACATGCGCGCTATCATTATCTATATGCGAGAGAGAAAGTTGGATATTATTTTTCGGGAAACATGGAAAATAGACCCAGAAATAAAGGTCAGTTCGCTTTTATTTGGTTGTCGCAAAAATAATGAGATTCTATATAATTTATGCCCCAATCTTAATAAAGCTCGCAGAAAAAATAAAAACAAAAGGCACACACTTTAGTTTTGTTTGCTAGCTTTGAGAATGAAAAGAAGTGTTAATATCGAAAGAAAGAGAAGTGGGGATGAAGCTTGTTGGAAGAACAGGTTGGCGTGTTAGAGAGATAACCTGGTGTAGGAAAAGCATGCGTGCGTTTGAAGCCCAGTGCTGTCTCTTCTTGTCCCCAACTTTACCAGCATCGGCCTCATTTTCAGGTTTCTAGCTTTCCACTTTCCTTTTTCCTCCCCCATTCCCACTCTTTTTCCTGGCTTTCTCGTTTCCATATTGTTTTATGTATGTCTGAATCGCTTCCTTCCATCTAGTTACTATACTATATTGCCATTATTGTTGAAACTGATCTGGACTCTCAAGGGAATGCATTCGTTAGCAATAATACCTCCAATCCATGCAGCTTTTGGTATGTACGTACGTATACATCCTTAGGCACATGTCATAAAGTAAATACTTGAAAGTTCTTGTCATATATTGTAAGACAACTCAAAATTCAGTGTGGTTTTGCCGTTTTGGTTACGTATAAATATAATTTTACATGCAAACACACACACACACACCCCTGCTGACTGAGTGAAACCCAACTGCTAGAAAACAGATAATGAAGCAAAGGAAAGTAATAAAAAAAAAAAAAGAAGGTACGAGAATTAATTGAAGAATAATATATAAACTAGGAATTAACGGAGTCATGATCACGGCCATCATAACATGACAAATGAATTATTAAATGTCAAGCAAGTTTCGTCGAATCAAAGCGTGCGGCTTTTGATTAAGCCAAAACCGATTCTATTCTGTCATTCTTCGTTTAATTAATCGGTGGCTCTCGCCAGCCTTGTGTAAGTACTTCCCAAAGAAGCCAAGCTAGCGGAAAAAGTTCTTCATTCATATATTTTGTCAGAACGACTATCCTATTATTCTGCCATCTTATTTAACCAAAAAAGATATGCTCGAATTGAATACCACGAACTTATTCTCTCTTTTAATTTGTAGGGCGGCACACGCGCTCGCACACGAAATCTCATGTACATCGTGCGTCCCAACATACGAATGCGTGTAAATTTCAATATATAATCTGTCTAAATAGCCATCGTATCCCATTCGTATATTAGTAACCAATATATATATATATATATATTTATATCTAGGCGCAGTTCTGTCTGTTATACGCGTGATGTGAAGGATAGTCCACTCAGACCACGAGGTAGAAATATTGTAGTGAAAGTCCTCCCGGCCTATTTAACTATGACGTGTTTTTAATAAATAAAGTCGGAAGTAGTATAAAAGAACAGTTTAACACAGACCCTTGTGTCATATAGCCCGGTGGAATCTACCAAGGTACCGAGTAAGACTCTGTAGCTGTGCATGATCAATTCATAAATGTAGATTAAGAAAAATGGGCTACCGTAAAAAAGACTCTAGGCTTACCTCGCGCCAGTTTAGTTATGATTCGGAAGTAGTAGATTGCCAAAGCAGCGGAGATTAATTTTTAATTACTTTCTTTATGCTAACCTTTAAGAGATAAAACCGTCACGGGAACTTCAAACTGTATATAATAATGAAATGATTTTCCAATTATCTTATACGAAGGATCCCAATTTCGTTAAGAATAGAATAGTATGGGCAATAGTAGAAAATTGGAATGAAATTCGTGCGGTCGATTTGGTTCAAGGGAGGGGGGAAGACGAGATAATGAGAATGGACATATGTTTCTCTAGGTACAAAGATAGTGAATGAGAATTAAAACAAATTGTTCGTCTTGGCTTGCATAGAAATGCTTTTATTCTTCTTCTAATTAGTAAATCATGTTAATCAAAACAGAATATACAAAGCATGAGTTACGTGCTAACAAAATATAAAGGAAAGGTTCGAGTGACACGTACCACATACTAAGATTATTTAAAGTCGCCTCATGTTGAGAAAATAGATTATCAAATATCAACGTCGTCAATAGTTTTGTTGAAGTCCTTTTTCATGACAGAACGTCGTCTCTTCATCTCGAATGCAATCTCTGCATCTTCTCTAATTATAGCTCTCATTTACAGAAATATCGCTGTGTTCATAATTTAAAAGATGTTATCTCTACTATTTTTTGCCATTGGTTTTGGCTAGAAAAGGTATACAAATTTACATAATAAACAAATTTAGTCATATAAATATTAATACTTTAATCCAGTCATAGGTGTACAAAATAAACATTCAACACTGGTGATGCGGAAAAGGTGACAGTCAGTCTTCCAAACCTCAGCTTCCCAACAGATTAATCATGAATGGAAGGTGACGTGGATTGCCGCTGAGACTAAATTGAAATTTGATCAAAAGAAAATATCGAGGGAGAAGAATATGAAGTATATGGTTTTATAAAATCCAACGTCAACATCGCCCCTTGCACATAACAAATTGATGCTTTCGTGCTCTCGACCTTAGCAGCAAGAGCCACAAAAGTTCTGATAGGCGTAGTGACACTAAATTCAACCTGAACAGAGATAAGAATCAGGCAGTAGCCCAACTAAGAAATCAACAAATGGAGGAAACCCACGTTGAGACTGGCCAAGTACGCTCATGCTATCATATAATATTAATCCGTTTAATTTATGGAAATGTACTTGGCCTAAATAATATTTTTCAATGAACAAAAATACTTCGATATTATATTAGGACTTCTTTCCAATGGCCCCAGTGAGTGAAGTTATATCAGTACTCAGGCATCTAGCTATTGAGGCTGAGGTGCTTCCGAGTCTATATGGGACATCGAACAAGGGGTAGCGGGTACATACAATGGATCAAAGGCTGTTCGATGCCTGGAAAAGCTACACACTAACTTTATGAACAGTTTCCACTGAACTTTAAGCAAAATAATTCTCACTAGTGCCTATGTTGTAGCTCCTTATTCCCCAATTAGTGAATGACAAATGTTTCTTTAAACTACTAAGCTAAGGTATGGCGAAGCTGTCTATTAGGCATTGCTTTTAATCATCCAACAAGATGACCTCTGGGTCAGATTTTTCTTTCTTTTCATTCAGTTCAGCATCATTATCAGCTTCATTCATTTCTATATCACTTCCCCTGGTTTCTAAAAGACTTGGTGATTCCTTCTCTTGGACAAGGACCGTGCAGCTTTCTTTTGTAAGTTGACACCCCATTACCAGATCTGTTCTCTCGTTGCCTACTGATTTAGGTTTGCCATCTTGAGAAATCACCACTTCATTTTGTGGTGAAACCGCTGATTTATTCTCTAGAATCAATAATGGCTTTTCTTCAGAAGGGTGACTTTGCTGTAGGGGTGTTAGAATTCTATTGATGTCGTCGCAAATGGGCTCTATTGTCAGCAATTTCTTCATGTCAACTTCTGCTAGTTTTCTTGCACTGGTGTTTTCGTCCATGACTTTACACATCTGCCAGCACAGAGGGGAAAACAGTTCTTACATATAATACGCCATAAATCAGTTCGCCGCACATGTTTTAACTCATGAAGTGATTATCTAAATGGGGAAAAACAACTCATGGAGATCATGTATAACCTCATTGTAAAGCCGAACCAATTCCAAACGATTGGGATCACCATCAGCAACAGAAATCTTGTCTGAAGCTGCACAAAATCAAACCGCTACAATTAAAACTCTCAACAAATACTTGCGGTACTCAAATTGCAATGAACTAACTGCTTGACAAAAACATAACTAAAAATCATGACAACAAAGCAGAAAGGGCAAAAATTATAAACACAACGAATTTATATGATTCAAATTAGGAGGCTGCTGATGTCTGTTCATGAGAGGAATCTATCAATTGACACGGGAAAAGAAATAAAAAGATCATACCTATTGCCTCCACTTGAGGCAGTTGATCAGACATTTGGGTGTCTGTCTCCCCTGATTTGTTACTAGATATACTTGTAGCCGTGGGTTCACAACTAAGTCCATTGTTTGTTACTTCATTTACTTTTACTTCACCCTGCAGAGGTCATGGGGGAGAAACTCACAAGCCAATCAAGCAAAAAATAGATATCGATATATAACAAATGCCCAATCATATTAATATCTACGATCAAGAATTTAAGAAATACCAGTCTTCGTTATATATAACAGTTGAATAATCTTGTACTGGTTTATTTATGATGTGGCATTATCAGCACACATCAATGCTAATACTTTTTAATGCGTGCATTTTGATTTTCTTTTCTTTTCTTTTCTTTTTTTTTTAACATCGCGTGCCATAGTTAAATGCTAGTTACTGTCTATAATCGAAAACAATGACAGGCATTTAACATTCTTAGAAATCTAAATTTAATATCATCAAACATGAAAAAAAGATGTTACACATCAAACATGAAGAGACAGTAGTATCAATTTGTTGCCCGCCATGATATTTGATAAAAGAGATTAGAGTATCCAGAAAGGGACAATGAACATTAACTGTCAACACTACGCAATAAAGATGTTACACATCTTCAAACCTTAGCCAGCCTTAAGAGGTAGCATCAAGATCTAAAGAACTAGATTCTATGAATTCTAGGTTGGGTATGAAGATAAGTTGGTCACTATCCTAAAATTTATTCACTGAATATGACCCCGGCGGTGTATTTAGCACTCAATATATATGCCTGAATCCAAGTTTACGCACATATCTTACGATGTATCGTCTGGTTAGCTACACAGCAAGTTTCTCTGAACGATCTTTTCAGAGGTGTTTCCTTGTCAGAGACATAAAGATCTCGTGTATTTCTGCGTTTTGTTCCTCTTTTCCTGATCTAAGGGGATCCATTGTCCACCATAATTGAACATTCTTGCGAATCCTTTCTTCCACCCACCAACTTCCAAACATATACAAAACTAACAACAGTAGCATCAGCAATGACAATTGACAAGTCTTATCCATTTAATAAAGTTCGCTGTATATGACATCATTGGATTGTAAATTTATGAGTTTTTTCCCCAGCACATTAATCTCTCAGACACTGGAAGGTTGTGTCCAAGATCCAGGCTTTTCATAAGTTAACAATATCTGACAAGGCAAGTTTTAAAAAGATCTAAAATCATCTTCTGGTCAATTAACACTTCAACCCAGTAGAGCCCATAAAACTTAAACTTACTAAGCATTCTTTCTGGTAGTCCGCATTGATCCCTTTTTCCAAGAGAAGCACCCTCTTTTTTATAAACTCAACCTGTCTTCTCTGCATGTCTCTAAATGATATAATATGGAGGACTCTTGATGTAAATGTGTTTGGCTCCTAGCATCACCAGAACCAAGTGCACCATCAGCTGCTTTGTCACTCACATCATTTTCCCGAGATTGATTGCTAGCTGCTTCTCCGTTGGACAAATTTACACTATTTTGCGATTGAGAGCCTACTTGACCCGGTACTGGTAAATTTATAACGGGCAGGTTCAGCTCCTGACAGATGATCTCATGAATCTTCAGATCCTTATCATCAACAATAGCTTGCCACCTTCCATATCCGTGCCTTGAGAGAAAAAAAAATCATGTTTAAGTGATATATCAACAAAGAAATTCACAATGCTAACAAAAGAGCCAACTAACAATATGGCATTCAGCTGTCTCAAGTAATAGAGTATATTCGAGGCAGTAGCAAAAATAATATACAAACACCATCTAAGTATATTTGCAAAACCATATGGTCTCCAAGCCTCTAAAAAGAGAGAATTAATTGTCAATCCTTATAGTTTCACCTGATTTTAATCAGGTCCTGTAGTTTATTATCTTTTATTGGATCCTTATAGTTTTCTCAATCATAGACATTAATCCCATCAATTAAGGATGACATGGATGCTGACAGCCTAAGCCACATTTAAGTTGCTACAAAATACAAAATACCTAAATTTTGTTCAAATTTCCAAATATGTCCAGCAGTTTTTTCATCAATGAAGGCTGAATATGCTGTGGTGATGACGAGGAATCTACAATAGATGGTGAGATTAACAGTGACAGTGATATTAACTGCAATGAATAAAATCATGCTAAAGCAAAGCAAGCCTTCCATATCTGACTCCACCATGGATGCCAGAAGCAATCCCACGTTGCTTCCAAATCTACTGTGGTGATACAGTTTATCTCCCCCAGAAACCTTTAGCAACCTTCATTTCTGGCTCTTCTTCAGTGACAAGCATGAGCTTAAAAGCGAAGCTACTGTGGTGAAGCGATTCATCTCCCATAGCAACCTTTGGCTACCTTTGTTTCCGGTTCTTCAGCAATGAGCATGGGCTTGAAAGTTGAAACCAGCAAATTGAGTTTTTTGTTCTTCCCCAGCGACCATTGATTCCCACCCTTTATTGATGTTAGATCTGGGTTTCAAAAGCAATGAGGAGGATGTTTATCCGTTTGAAGATTATGTTATTATTTGATTTTTCTGGAACATTTTAGATTGTGGTTAGTAAAATTTGTTATTATTTGATTTTTTGTTAAAATTTGTTGATTATGCTTATTGTTGTTGTCTGGTTAGTAAAATACATTGTGGTGTTGATGCACCTTGGTGTTGCCATACATCGGGGAAGAAGGGAAGAATCTGGAAAAATGGTACGGTGTAAAACTATCAGAGGGTAATGTTGTCTTTTACTACTTCAATATTTTTCTTAATCCATGTTTGTTTATTTTGCTTAATCATGTGGCGACATTAATCCATATATGCTGAGACAGAGCCACATCATCAGCCAATAACACCATTTGGCCTACAAATTAACAGATTATGAACACCGGACCAACGTTTATAATTGAGGAAACTATAAGGACCCAATAAAAAAACTACGAAGACCTGATTAAAGATATTTTGAGACGATAGAGACTGCCAGATTAATTTCCCCCTATAGAAACAACTGTTGTCTTCTATTATGCCATGAAATGATACCCAATGTCTATTGTACGGGAAGAGGTACAGAGGAAAATTTGAGGATGAAGCAAAGGAATGCCTATGCATGGAAATTAGACAAGATCGTTTATTAGAAGGAAAATATACCTCAATACAGCACGCAGCAGCACTAAATCATGCTCCTCCTTCCAAAACTTTGCACCCTTCAAACTAGGATAGCGAAATAAAATTTCATCTGAAAAAAAGTGGAGTCCCAGGGTTTTCTGATGCAAACTTCAACTGTCATTTCACATCCCAAGAGAAAAAATGTTCCATCATGCTAAGGGATAGTATAAACTGTAATTATATTTAGAGTGATCATTCTTCAGGCTGCATTTCCCCAGTCTAAACTGTAACATCCAGCAAGTAAATGAGATATTTGAACTTTTATATAGTCGCTTGAACATCATACTCCCTAAAGGTATACCCATCCCCTTCTCATAAATAACAGTAAATATTATCAGCTTTTCTTCCAAATTATCTAGAAGTTGAGACTAGCCATACAAAGACCCTCAGTTTAAAAAAACTCACGGTTAAACTAAACAGCTACAAGTAAGTCGGTCTCTGTTAGACGGTCATTAATTTATTTTGCCAAAATCTGAAATGCCTTAGTATGAAAATGCTCTTTTTCTTTGGGGAAGAAAGAATACTTACAGTAACAGAACAACCAAAAGACAAACAGTATTTGGTACCTTGTCATAAGCTAATCTTTCAGAGTTTTGTCCAAAAAAGCACTTACAAATCAATAATCCAATTCATCAGGTTACATACAAGTTCATGAGCGCTTCCAAAAACAAAATACAAAAGCATAAGAGAAGAGAACAGATTACTGGGTTCGTTTAGTGTTAGTGGATACATCCATGCCAGACATGATCTAAAATTAGCCATAGAATTATAATCAAATTGCATGAACAGCTTTCCACAAAGTGAAATCACAGGCTTGAAAGCACTTATTTTAGTGATTATATGAGCACAAATAGTTGAACATAAAGCAAGTTTCTTAGAAGGACTCACTTTTCCCTTATCAAGCCCCAGAATTGCAATCCTCACAAGTACATCTTGAATTCTTAGTCCTTCTTTCGGAACGCCATCTACCGCCAAATCAATAAGAAAAAAAAGAATGAAATCAATGAAGTTATAAGAAAAACTAAAGTGCAAAAGGCCACATCCGCAAGAAGGATCCACTACCTGAAAATGTAGAGGCATCAGTTGTATCTCATAATATGATTTAGGAAAAGGATTCCATAGCTGGAAATTAAGAACTGTGTCATTTTCACCAACAAAAAAAAAATGACTTGAAGTAAGATGCAAGCCGAAAAAATAGGAAACAAAATTAAAATTATGAAGGGAAAATTATATAATTGATCTCTGTAGTTCTGATTTGATTTTAACCCGGTTCATAAATTTTAAGTAGGAACAACTCAATCCCAACAGTTTTTGACTCTATTGAAATTCAATTATTAAACTTTACCTGAATGCAACTCAATCCTTATAGTTTTCACCATTTAAAACTTTAGTCCCTAAGTTTTGAAAAACAACTTTAATCCTTATAATTTTATTTCCCAAAATTGTGTTTTAAATGGCTAAAACTATTAAAGATTGAGTTGCACTGAGTCAAAACTTAAGAACTCAGACATTTAAATTTCAACCAAGTCAAAAGTATAAGAAATGAGTTGTATCAAATGAAAATTTAAAAATTGAGTTTTAATTAAGTCAAAATATAGATCCCACAAATGATTAATCCTTCCACGTATAAAATAAAATCAAAGTGTTCTCAAACCAATGAACTGGTGAGGTAAATACATGCATGCACTCAAGATTCAAGAATCAACATTAGATCATGGTTCATAGCCTCATATACATGTAAACATATCGATAGGAAAATGTTTAGTCAAACAAGAAAACAACAACAACAACAAGCCTTATCTCATTAGGTGAAATTGGCTACATAGATTGTACAACGTCATTATGCTCTATCAT